AAGTCCAGCTTCACTAATTTGTTTTTCTGGCTGGGGAAAGAATCTAATCTGTGGGCCTGAATTTTGGACTAGTGGATACTCCCATTGGGCCATTTGGGCAGGTTTTTGAAGTTGGGATGGAGCGGAAAACAGAATTTTAGCACTGCTTTGTAGCCATACTTTTAGCTTAAATCCAAACAAAATTTGGTTTAGTTTCTCAGAGAGTTGCCCGATCTATCCTGATTGTTCAGAGACAAAGTTTTCTTAGTAGTCCAGTACCTAATGGAAGAGCTTTTCCGACATCATGATCTGCCAGATCCCTTGACTTGGACTTAAAAAACATTTATACCAAGGAATTGCTGGAAATATAAATACTCTGTTCTATGTTCCTGCAGTATTCAATTGAGCTAAAAACTCCAAATGTTTTGTGCTAGGCACAGAGAAGGAGTTAAGTGTTTTTGAAAACCTAGTTGTGTTTCTGTAAGATTTAGTCTGCAAGAGTTGATTAACGTGGCCATGTTTGATGGTTATCCTGCTGAAGGTGCTTTTGCAGTGGACATTGCTTACTGCCTGCACTATTCCTGGCTGCTCAGGCAACTGAGCAATTGCAGAAAGATGGGTAAGAAAAATAGCAAGCTTGGCAGGTGAACCTCACAAGTGAAGTAATAGATAAAAAAAATAATCTTCAATTTAGTGTGAAGTTGTAATTATTTTGAATTTTTGAACACACTTTCTCTTTTTATCCAGAAGAGCTAATCCCTGATCCTAATCTGCCCTCCAAAAAGTTAAACTCATTGATACTGATGTGGAATACTTCCAGGGATGTTGTGGCTTGCCATATAGCATTCTAGGGAAAGGCAAGTCTCCATGATTATGGAGGTCGTATGGACCAGTTACATGTAGATGTTTCATCCTTTGGTTGGGAATGTTGCAATATAAGGTATAGGGAGGACAAGATGTACCGGGTTTTTCATCAGTCCTGTTTTGCTCTTGCTAATGCCCTGACTCCTTTGTGCTGGGTTTCTGTCATCTACAAGGAAAACCAGTCTTGGCTTTACAGTGCTACAGACTGCATTTCTATTCCACAGGTATGAGATCTCGCTCTACATTGCTCTGTCTGCTGGATGCTACTTTTGGGAAAGTTAATAAATGTACTCACTGTTCTTCCTGTTTAAATTAGTGTGGTCATAATGCGTCTCTTTCTTCTTTTCTTCCCCCTGCTGTCTTTAAAATGTCCAGTACAGGACTTTGTCTGACATGAACTAATTTTTTTTTTTTTGCAGACTGTTGGATATCCCACCCATCTTTCCCATCTCCAATTCTAGTATGTGGAGTTAATCTCGGACAAACTGAAAACTCTCTACTCCTTCTTGTTTGCCCTTAAACTGCAGGACAGTAGCCTGTGATGGTGCTATAGATAATTTTAATTTTGGCTTACAGTTTCTGAATGTATGTGGTGCTAGGAGATATTTTTTACTCTTAAAAAAAGCTTCATTTGTACATGTGGTTGCTTAAATGCACACATGTGAAAAAAGGAAAGGCTTTGTTTTTAAAGAAATTTCAAGAACTTTAATTTTATTTTCTTTTATAAATAATATTTATCTCTTTCTATTTTACTTCAAAATCAGCACTGAAAATTGCTGAATGGCGATTCTCACATTTTCTGTGTGGAAACTGTTCTGTACAGGAGACCTCATGTGTAACAGTGTTGAAAATCTAATCAGGAATGCTTCATGGAGCTGCAAAATCATTGTTGGATAAAACATTTTAACAGAGAAGCAAAGCTGTAATTGCCAGAGAAGGTCATGATTGCAAACGCTGTGTTGACTGGGTGTGATTTGGATGAATCCTGATGGTGCAGAAGGAAGCCCAGTTATGCCCTAACCTGTTGACTGCTGTTTTCTGTCCCAGTTTTCCTTTTGTGAAACATAGTTGTTATGTGGCTAAAGGTTGGAAAACAAAGCAGAAATTCTGATTACAGTCAACAAGTTCAGCATTCTGCACACTCAGGTCCCAGGCGTGATGATATTGTGTGCAGCAGTGCCATTTTCCACTATCGACTTTGTGAGCAGGAGCTTTCTCTGACCTGCTCTATAAAGCCCATGTTGCATACAAAGCCCAAAGTCCCCTTTAGATTTATTAACAAAGAAAGCAACAAAAAATAGCGTGCTGAGCTACTCCAAGGGCTCCTCCCCAAGGACTGCACTGCTAAGAGCTGAAGTCTTCTCTGCACACCAAGTGCAAACAGGGGAGGCAAGATGTGCTTTGCAGAGCTGCTTAACCCTTTCCTGGAAGGAGCGACATCTCACTGTCTCTCAGGAATGGGAGCAGGGTGGGATAGGGAGGCAGTTTGGTGTTTATTTTTATCTCAGTCCTCACACCATGCATACACTACATGAGGTTTTGTATAATCTAATAGGTAGATTCCTGCTGTTATAATTCGGAAAATTCACAGTTGAAGGTCTTGTGACTCCCAAGCCATTGTGTGCGTGTCACATGTGTCACTGCTGCAGACTACCCTTGCAGTTGTGCTTGGGCAGAGATGAGAACTATACAAAGGGCCAGTGGTACATGTCTATCTTGGCATTTATTTTCCTGAAGCACGTAGATGTCTCATTTTGCTCTTCCCTGCTGTGAATGCCACCCCAATGTGGTCTCTCAGTGATCCTGAACTCCAGCTCTTGCTGTTGTGTTTTCCACTTTCTTGTGGTTCTGGTCTGTGTTTTGTGGTTTTTTTATAGGTGGCAACTTTGAGATCCTTGGCCTCCTCTGGCATTGCTAGGAAAGAATACAGTAAGACCTTTAATCAGAGCCACTCTGCAAACTGGTGCAGCTCTTGTGGTGGATATTAGGCACGTATACTTTCCCTTGACCAGTTTGGCATCCTTCACTCTAGTGTAGCTCTATGGCATGTGTGTACATGCAAAGCTGCTTCCAGTTTGATTTTACCTTGCAACCTGAGACACGTGGCAGACATCAGGAGTGGGGGAGAAGGGTCATCAGTGAAAACACGGAATGCCCTGGTGCTCTGTTATTTGAGATAGGAAGGGTGGTGGGAGCCTTGGGCCATTTGCTAGAGGGGCTGTGGCTCCAACCCCATGCTGTTTCCCTCTGTTTGGTACCAATTGAACAGCATCCCTGTTCCCATCCCCAGCTGCCTCAGACCTCATGCACAGTGGTTCACCAGTGGTGTCAAGGCTGGTGGCATCCCAGCAGCTTTGGCTGCTGGAGATGATAGCTGTCACCTCCTTCACCTCCTCGGCCATCTCCGCTCCAGCAGGTTCATGCACAGACAGCTGTCCTGACAACAGGGTGCTGGGGTGAGCTGCTGCTGAGCCTTTGCCAGCATCTTGGTGGGTTGAAGTGCATCTAGAATGCAATTGGCACTTAGGCTATGGTCTTTGCTCTAGACATTTCTCTTGGGACCTGACTTGTATAAAAGAGCAGCAGCTGTGTTTTGCACCAGCTTTAATCTGATGGCTTTCCGAAGTGCAGCCTATTCTGGGAGCTTAACCTTGTAATGGCTGAGGCCAGGCACAGCTCTCAAAGGAAGAGAAACTGGCTTTTGATGTTGCTTCCTCTGAGGAAGAGAGAGGAGCATTTCTTACAGCCTTTTTTCCCTCCTGCTGCTCAATGAATCCAGCCACAGAGTTGGATCTATGGGGAGGCTGTCACTAGGAAGTGCTTGGCTGCTTTTCAAGCTAACACCTGAAAACAATGCTGTAAGGTAACAAACCTTCTCAGTTCCTCAGAGCAGATCTCCCCATGACCAGACATTCCCCATCAGACTTTGCTGATGGCAGCTGACAGGCACCCGGGTGGTTAGCAAGACTGAGAGAAGACAGCTCATAGTTCATTGAAAAAAACATCAATGGCCAAAGACTGCATCCTCTCTCCTGAGCAAATGTGATCCACAGGGGTTCACGACATTGAACTTGTGGGGCTAAAGGAATAGAAAAATTATCTCTCATACCTGCTTGGTGTCTTGCTAAAGAAAAGCCACCATGCTGTGTTCTCCCAATCATGTTTAAAAACCATCCTGGGCAAGGTGACCTTGCCAGGCTGCACACAGCACATTGGACAGATGCTGACAGCTGCATTTGCAGTGATCATTCCTCAAGGATGATCATACGGTTTGCTCCTTATGCTTGCAGGTTTTCATATTTGATTTTAGACTATGGTTAAAGCACTGGAATCCAGATTTGGCACCATTTCCCAGCTCTGCTACGCTTCCTTGGGTGAAACAGGTAATATTTTCCTGCTGCTATTCCCAAATGGAAATCTTAATCAATCTTTAATTAACCTTGACTATTTTCTTTGTTTAGCTTGCAAGCTATTGGGAGAACAAGCTTTTCTCATTTTAGCAGTGGGCTGCTGCCTATTTCTGCTCTGGCCCTGGCATATTGCTATAGAATAAGTACCATCAAAAATAACAGGACATTTCCTCAGTTGTTATCTTTACCATCATGGCAGTCACACCCATAGTGGAAATGCTGTCATTGGCTTGTCGATCTACAATTTTGGCTAAATTTTGAATCCTAACATGCACAACAGGAGCGTTCAGATAAGCAGTTTTGCAACATCTGTGTTGCTTGTGTTTAAAATAGGATTAAGAGGAATAAAACAAGGTACATCCATGAAAAAAAACCCTGCATCTCTTATGCAGTCAGAGATGACTAGAATTGTAAGCAGTGAGGTGGATTTGGATGGAAATCATGAATAATTTTAAAACACCAATTTAGGTAGTCTTTGTGGTTTTGTTTTTTTTTTAACTTAGTTTTAACATAGTTCTCTTACAGCCCCCACTCCCACTCAATAAAGTATACAGATAGAATAAGGGGATAATTTAATGTGCTCTTGCTGTTCATACTATGGATGCTTTCTTCTGTCTCCACTTGTGCTTCAGGAAGAAATGAGACATGTTTAGCAAATGGAGGTTTATTGTAGGACTTCCAGATCTCTGAAGAGCTCTGACGTACTAGACTTGTCATCTTAGTTTTTCACTGAACATATTTCTCCTGTCCTTGTGTTCCTGCACAGCTGTGCATATGTCAAACACAGTTTCCTTTCGCTTAATTCACTACAAATTGTGCCATGAGCACCTGGTCCAGTTTTCCTCTGATTTTGTTGCATCACTTAGAGCAAAATGTAAAAATCCCTCTTTTTTTGCCTTTTGTCATCCTTAAAAGCAGAGAACTGGTATTCCTAGAGAGTTTGTGAGCTAAAAATTGCTGTAAGCTAATGGACAGTGAATTAAACTCCTGGCCAGCTGTCCTAGGCCACTGATCCTTGCTCTGTCAGAGTTTCAAGGTGTTGGCTTCCTTATCTGTAAAACAGAAATATTACTTGCTCAAGTGTGGTTTGGAGGGAGGAGCTGTGTAATACCTACTCTTTGCATTGAACAGGGAGTCCAGAAGCCATCAGTTGAAAGTGTATTTTTCAAACTGTTGGGTCCACGAAAAGATCTGGAGGCTAGCAAAACAGGCTGCTTTCAGCTTGCATTTCTTGCCCGTTGGCCATGACAAAACCAATGCCATAGCTTTGCCCAGAAGGTTCCCCATGGCTTGAAAACGGAGGCATCTGCTGGGTTTATGGACTTTGTTGCTCAGCTTGGCAGTGGTGCTTCCTGTAAATTGATCAGACCTGTCTTTACCTCTAGATTTTGCAGCTGTATGAGGAATACTGTCTTTATGACATAGCTGTGGGAGTCAGGGCAGCAGAAACTCTGTCTGGAAGAGATGGATATGTGGTCACGTAAGGAGAAGACAAGAAAGCATAGGTCTTCTGGATGTGCCTTTGCACAAGAGGGATTTGGGGATTTTTGCAGGGATGAAAATGGCTTTTCTTGATTCCAGTGCACCCTGAAAAGCCATGTGAAGTAGCGTTTCTTTGCCCATTTTCTATTCCTTTCCAGTGGCAAGTTTCAAGGATGTATGTTCTGCTGGTTGAAATCATGAATCATCAAAAAGGTGCTGGTTTGTGAGCTGGACCAGCCTGGATTCTACAGCCTGATGGTGGGCTCCTTTGCTGGGAGCGTGGCCCAGCATCATCAAAACTTCAGTGCTCCCCAAAGGGCAGGATGGACCTGCTGCTGCTTCCACCTCTGCCCCCAGCCCCATGTCAGCTGTGTCCCTCTGCTGCCCGTGATTATGCAGCACCAGAGACATCTCATCCACCCTTTTTTTTTTCCTTTCCCCGTTTGAGTGAGACACCAGAACAGGCAGCACCAGCTGCCAAGAGCCCCCATCACCCCTCCCCTTAGCTTTTGGAGAAGGGCAGTCTCTCAGCCAAAGTAATATGTACACTTCCATCCTTTCTCCGTGACTTGGGTTGCACACACAGTCTGCTTTTATAAAGAACATCAGTGTTGCACCAAGATATGGGCTGTCATTTTTGTGAAACTGCTGAGTACCTGCTCTCTTTAAATCAGAACCCTTTTAAAAATATGAGTTGATCTTCTACTAATTTAAACTAACGTCTGTAGAGCTGAAGATCAGGCCTTCCACCTCAGTCAACCCAGGCAGAGCCATCATGGGGACTTTCTTCTCATTTCTTCTATTTTGTGCATTAGCTCAATGAGAACATAGTAATGCACTGAAAGTTGTTTAAATTTTTATAGAAGTATGTGTTTTTGAAATATGCCATGCAAGCTCCTAGCAGTTGGGTAGGTTACCCAGGGCCCCTCACTGAAGGCACTGCTCTTCCCTTCAAGTTGTGAGAGAGATGCACAACATCCTAGGCTTTCACAAGCCTGCTCAGGCCTCAAAGTTGATTAACCCTTTGCAGGGTCATGTCTGAGTGTGATCTGAATTTATAATGTGCTGTCACTTCCAGAAACATGTGTTACTATCATGCTGGTGTCCTCTCTCTGAGAGGTGCATGTGGAGAAAGCAGACCAGGTTAGCAATCAGCTGTGGTGGATAATGGTTGAGATGTGTGTTGGTAGGTGATCTCTAGGTTGTGTTTCCATACTGGTCTTAATATGATGCTTCTTGAACTGTTTCACTTCAGATTTTAGCCTGATGCAGCCTCTTCTCACCAACCTTACTTACTGTATTTACTTTGGTCCTACTCTTCTCAAAAGCCCTTCCCTCCCACCCCCAAGGTTAATTAGTAATTCGGTAGTAAGCTGAATCTCCTCCCCCGAAGATGCTGTAAGCCATGCCTGTGCTGTTCATGGGTTCAGGCCATGGCACACTGCCATCAGATCTGTTGGATGAGGCCTCCTGAATGCAGAAGAGAACAGGATGCAATAAAAGGAAAGGGCGAAGTCCTCTGTGACACCATATCAGCATGGCCCCATCGATGTCACTCTGTGAACCTCTGGCAATGTGATCATTTGATTCTTGAGGTTTTGCATCATCTAAATTATCCAAAAGAGATTGAGAGAGAGACAGAGCATTTTTATGTCTAGCAGGCATAGCCTTGGCATCTGGCTCTGTCCCCTAGATCTCCCAGGGTCCCTTTTAGCGCTATTTCCTATTTTTCATATTACTAAAAGCTGGACTGAAAACTGAACCTCGCCCTTAATTCTTTTTCCATTTTGAATCTAGCAAGATAAAAAAGTGTTGTTTTACATAAAAACTAAGCCTCAGCAAAGTAGACAGATTTATTGAATTACCTCATAGCAAAATGAGTGTGTTTCATTGTCACTTTTTTTTTTTTGTCTAACAGGAATTTTTTTTTTTTTTAATCTACTGATGCCATGGGGAAATAGCTGCATTGGCTATGAAATAGAGAGAGGGCACCACACACTGACCACTCCAATAATGTGCACCAGTAAATAATGTGCAAGAGCTCAAGGATCCTAATTTCTGAATATATAATATATTAGAAGTTAAGCTGCTGCAAAAGCACACAAAAGACTTCCCTGAACCTTCATAAATTCTTATGCTTTAAATTAGAAATAAAGTAGTCTCTTTTTCATTAAATGATAGGTCTTAGCAGTGCCTAATATTCAGTTCATTGCAAATAGTACCAAATTTTTACATATTCACCGCGTATATTTTATTGCTGTAATTTGTGGTTCTCCCAAGCAGAATAATATTTTTACTTCACTGAATATACCTGTGCAAGTTAAAGGTCTCAGATGTATTCCTTTAAAGTGACAGTTCATTCCAGCTAGGTTCCTGCTTTATATCAGTACTTATTCATTAAAAGTAAGTATAAAATACAATGTCATCCTTCTTAGTCCCAGATTCAAGCAGTGGGGAGCCAAATCCCGAAACTCATGAAGTGTTCTCTATTCACACTTGGGCTCAGAGCACACATTTTGCTGCAGGCTGCTCCCTTAATGCGTTTACCTGCGTGCTTCGTTAAGTAAATACACCCCAGCGCCAGCCTGCCCAGGGTCTGCCTGTGTGGCAGCCTCAGCTGGTGGCAGCCTGGCTTGCTGCAGCCTTGCCGAGAGCACTGCAGGGACTCCCGGCTTCATTCCTGCTCCTCCGTCAGCTCTGCAAATAGGGGAGTGTTTTCTGTGCTGTTTGGTAGGCAGTGATTAATGACTGCTTGGTGTGGCAGGGAGATGAGGGAAACAGGTGAGGAGGATGCTTGCACACAGCAGAGAGGGATTTACTCAGCTGGGCTTTGAGGGGCGACACCGCAGCGTTCAGATGAACCAGCACATTTAATGCTACCTTCTGGTCCGTACCTCTCCAGGAGGCAGCTATGCCCGTCTGTCTTGCACCGCACAGGCATGCACACAATCTCTCCCTTTCCCCCCAGCACATCTGGAGCATGAACTGGGGAAAAGGCATGGGAGCCTTTCACAGTTCGTCAGGGCATGATCTCCTCTGAAACATCTGCCTCTCAGCTGAGATTTTGTTGACTCTAAGTACTGAGAGCTGAAGCAGAGGAGAAGATGAAATGAAGACTCCTAAGCAGTTTTCTGCAGTACTTGCCGTAGCAGTTTGTAGATGGGGTGTGAGTGTCAGAATAATTTCTTTAGAGTGTTTTAGGAATGAGCCTCAAAGTGTGAGCTGTGCCAGTACCTCTGCGTTACACACGCGAGCGTATGTGCGTATGACACGCACTTGGGTTAATTATTTAAATCTTAAAAAGTTGGAAGTCGCCTCTCTGCATATGAGTGCGCATATGTGCACAAACACACACACATACAGCACACATGCGTTAATTACTTAAACCTAAAAATGCTGGAAGGCACGCCTTGATTCTTTTTTTTTTTTGTCTTCTCTTTTTAAATAGCAGATGTTGTTAAAATTTACACCAGATTGTAAAATCTGTTCCAAAGGACCAGTTTGAAGTCTAACATCTCCTTCCCCTGCTCTTTGCTTGCTCTCCAAAGTGGTTGCAGTAAAATCCCACCTCTCCAGTTACTTTGTGGGTGTTCTCCCAGTTCAGAGAGGAGAAAAACAAACGTGTCCCTTTGTTGTTTGGCTTTGTGGAAATCTTTTTTTCTGATTTTGATGGGCATTTTACTACAGCATCCAGTTGGAGACAATTACGAATAAGTACTATTGACAGAGGCAATTGATACAAAACCCTTCCTGACCGTTCTCTCATCAGCTAAAGAGAAGCGGTGTTTCACCTACCAAAGCGTTATTAAAGGAAACTCAGCTATAGCAGCTGGTGTCAGCAATATGCCTTGCAATCAAATGAGAAATATGGTAGATACTCCAAGACATGAGATAACTGCCAAGGCTTATTGCAGAGCAAAGAGCTTTTCAATAAATGTTTTCTCTGAAGAGCATCAGATTTCACTCACTTCTCACAGCTCAGACATGCCTTGGCAATCATGATTAGCCTCATTTGGGCCTGTGGAATCTATTATTTTATAGCTAGTCTCATAGCTGGCAGGATGACAAACAGTTTATTCCTCTTTGGAGAGAAATCGGACCAAAAGACACAGAGCTTTAATTCAGTGCTCCCCCACCTAAGATATTTTTCCCTTTCCACCTATTGCTTAAGGCAAGACATCTAATGTTTGCCTTGATGGCTCTGTCAGGCTCTTGACATCCCAGATTTCTCTCTTGCCTGGATGAGGACAAATCTTTAATGAACTTCAGGATTTTGTTCTTTTTAAAGTCAGGTAAGGAGGGTTTACAATTCATCCGGTAAGAAAGATATAAAGATCTATGGAAATAATAATTATTCTTAATTAGCTATATTCTCCTAGTTGCCCTGTGATCTTTCTGTGCATTTGACATCCCAGAAGGAGGAACAAGTGGGCTGGTTATCTAGGGCTATTTACGTGACCCAGTTACACATGGGCTGAATGAGCAAGGGGAGTAAGACTTAGACTTAAACTTGCTTACCAGAGCCCTTTGGGGTTAGATTTTACCAGGCAAAGTTATTTATTTCCCAAGCAGCTGTTTTGTTGTGGGGTTTTTAACCATTCTGTCCGTTTGTCTTTCTGTACCCTGTCTCTGAGCACTCCTGGGCTGAGCTGGCAGCACTGGGAATTAGGTGTATGTTCCTGCCCTGAAAAACCACACTCAGCAACCCTAGAGGATCGAATCCTGCTTCCAGCACCCTTTGGTCTACCTCTACATACACAGATGCCTTTCTTGATGGAGGGGAGCAGCATCTCGGTACTCAGTTTGTGCCCAGACCTTGTTCTTGGAAAAAGCTCAGTTATTGCTATTTTTTTTCTTTTTTTTCTTTTTAGACTTGGAGCTGCAAGTAATGCACAGTAATGCCTTTTCCCCATTTATAAAGGAGCCCACAGCCTGGATGAGGTTTAATTCGTGTCTCTACTGGGGAGACTGGATCTCCACATCTTGCTCATCCTAGCTACAGGGCTGTGTTGAAAAAGGCTGATGGGTGCTCAGCATCAGGCTCTTCAGCAGCAGCAGGAACCAGCTACAGAACAAGTACTGCAGAGGGTCAGCCCCACAGTGCTTACCTCCCTTTCTGGATCTCTGATTTCACATTTTTTGCTTTTCTTCCCCCCCCCCCCTTTTTTTTTTTTTTTTGTTATGGGAGAATGATGTCCAGGTGGCTGATTCTGCTGTAATTTAATGGCAGCTCACTCATCTGCTGTTGTAGTGGAAACAATAAAAGGCCAACTGCCAAGGAAAGTTTGGCTGAATGACCTGTAGCCATAATTGAATTTTGCACAGTTCTTGCACGGTCCCTTTTTCCCCTCTCATGCTCACTCATCTTGCTGCTTCTTTTTAATTGACAAATTTAAAAGGAAAACTCTGTTGCACAACAAGTTGAGAGTTGCAATGATTTAAGAAGTTACTGCTGTTTTTTGTATAAACTGGTGTCAACAGAGGCATGTGCTACTTGCTGTAGGGTCACAACTGAAGTCTGCCTGGCTCGTTTTTCTACTTTTGAGGATGGTGAGTAGTGGCCAGTGCTCTGACAAACACTTTGACTAGCATAAACAAGTTTTTTCCTTCCCAAATTCAAGGATGAATTAGTTTTTCAGGTCGTTTTATCTTTGGAATGGTGCTCTAAACATAAAATCTCATCTACAGAAGAGATTTATACGCATTAAAAAATCAGATATTTCTTCTGAAGATGAACTTTGAATATAACAATTCTTGCTGCTTCTTGTCTTTCCAGTGCAGTATATTTCAGGACTCATTATATCTTAAGTGAATTATCTTTACTTGAGAAAAAAATATTTATCTCTTGGAATAATACATTTAGAAGTGCAGTGCAATCACATTCAGTATCTGCTGAAGCTGATTAAGTGTCTACTTCTTCAGAGAAGCCAGTCACTGTGACTGCCACCTGGAATAATAATGAGAAGAGAGAGGCAAAGAAGGAATAGAAATTATTCACTGAGTTTCGGGAAATCCGAATGTTTACAAAATCGTTGAGAACCAGCTTGCTGTTTGCTGCTCTTGCAGGGCTAGGCACGCAGCAGGGATCTGTTTAACCCTAAAACCCAGAATCCCTGAGTTTCATTTGCTTTCTGCAGAAGTGATTTTTGGTTTTCCCTTAAAAAATATTTAAAGGCATAATTTTTTGTGTGGTTTGGTACCTAAAATTAGGAAATGTGGTAATAACATTTAAGCTCCTAAAATTTACCTCAAGGGGACAGTGCCATGGAAAAGCATTTGTTATTGCTTGGATTTGAGGGAGAGTCCATATGAGGGC